ATATATATATATATATATAGGGGAACTCGGGGAAAAGCGGACCACGGGGCAAAGTGGAACTGTCTCAGCAGATCTATGTTGATGCCGCCATCTATCTGTGACTGTTTTCATTAAAAACTCAGGTTCGATGATGCATCGTTTTTGATGGACGCCATTTTGGACGAAAGTCTGTTTTTTATGTGTTTAAACTGATATTTTTTAGAAATGAATCATCTGCTAAATCACTGTGATCTTGTGGAATTCTTATGTAGGCTATTTTGTTGAATCTAAGGCCTATGTGTGCCATATGCATGATGACATTCTTTGCGTAGTTGTCTGCACAGCGTAACGCCACATGTATAGAAACTATCATGTGTTCGGGGCAATGTGGATGGGGCAAAGTGGAACAGGGTTCCACTTTACCCCGGCCATATTTGATAGGCCTAGATGTACTTCATTATTATCAGATTATTTATTATGATCTTTATTAGTACTCTCAGTAGCAGGTATATATATGCCTGTCTTTGCATCATTTTAACACCTAACTCGGTAACATTGGCCTAATTGTGTCTTCCCTAGACTTACATATTGTATAAGCGTCCTATAATGGCATTTTTCTTTCATATTTTAGGCAAAATGGTACGCAACTATGAATTTGATGTTCAGAGTTGGACACTGAAAGAGGACGCAACATTTTTGACACAATATACATGGAGTAAAATGACATTCCACTTTGCCCCATAACAGGTTTCACTTTGCCTGGGGAAAAATAAAATATTTATAACTTTTATAATTTTGTATATTTCAATGAAGTCGTTTTTTAGATTAACTTTGCTTGTACCGCCTGTTAGTGCTTGTTCTAAGCCAAAGGATTAGAGCCAAACATTTCACTTTGTCTCGCTCTTTCACAGCGTTTTGGCCAACCAAATTTCTTCGGTCCACTTTGCCCCGGGTTCCCTACACCCAATATAGTTTAATGAAATTTTCAAAAAATTGAAAAAATATCCAGGATTTTTTTTCGATGAATTTTGAATGCGTCCGAAGTCTTCCTCACACAAAAAATAAATAAAAAATAAATAAAAAATCCTGGATCCAGATCTGGTACTGATTGCACATACCGTTTACGCTGTACCTCGCTGGGGAAGAACAGTTGGAAGTCATCAGAGTTCTGCTGTACGTACAGATAGACACACCTGTCATCCCGCCGGTACAGACTGCAAATAGCAAACATCATCATCACCATCATCATCATCATCAGCAGCAGCAGCAGCAGCATCAGCAGCAGCAGCAGCAGCAGCAGCAGCAGCAGCAGCAGCAGCAGCAGCAGTAGCAGCAGTAGCAACAGAATGATTATCATTGCTA